GTAGATAAAATGAACGAGTACTAGAACGTCGGAACGCTTCCCATAGAGTGGAAATCGGCCGAGCTCACTTTCATCCCGAAACCCGGCAAAGCGCTCAATATTGATAACCTCCGTCCCATATCCCTCACGTCATGCGCTGGTGAGGTGATGGAAAAGGCCATACAAAACAAGGCTAACCAAATATCTAGAAGAACAGAACCTCTTGCCTGACACTATGTACGGCTTTCGTCCCCATTTGTCAGCGCAGAACATCCTCCTCCAACTAAAACATGAGATTGTCAACCTACCCAGTTTACCACTCAAGCGGAAAGGGCCATTCTTGCAATTGATATCAAGGTTGCCTTTGACAATGTTCGGCACTTCATTATCTTGAAAAACTTACGGAAACTCAGGTGCGGTCCAAAATTATATGCATATGTGCGGGACTTCCTTACAGTCAGACAAGTCACTATCCACATAGGAAACCTTAAATCTCAACCCATCATCATGGGTGATTTCGGCACACCCCGAGAGGCTGCCATTTCCCCGCTCCTCTTCAATATCGCCCTCATGCGCCTCCCGGAGGACCTAAATGAAATTTTGCAAGTACGTCACGCCATAAATGCTGATGACGTCACAATCTGGAGCCGGTCTGGTAACCTGGGTCAGATAAAAGAAGCCTTCCAACAGGCCACCTCTATCGTGGAAAGGACGCAAGAGTGGTCTGGAGTGCTCCCCAACCAAATCAGAAGTCTTAGTATATAGAAATAAGGCATCTGACAATACATCCCTCAATGTACACCTCAATGGAACGCAAATTAAAGAGGTTGAAACCACCCGAATTCTGGGGCCCTCTTCAATAATCAGGGCAACAACTCATTTGCTTTACAAAAACTAGAAACGTTCTGCCTACAAATCTCTCGCATGAGTAGTCGCGTGGCTAACCGACGACGAGGGATGAAAGAACTCGACATAATGCGACTCATTAAGACATTTGTCATCAGTCGCATAACTTATAGCTTTCCTTACCTGAAAGCAGACGAGCACAAAATAGACAGAGTCATACGTGTGACTCTCAAGAAGGCTCTGAACCTTCCCCCGTGGACATTCACGGAACGTCTGCTTCAAATGGGGCTCCACAATATCGTATCAGAACTATTCCATGCACACCACACGAATCAAGTCATGTGCCTCGCCATCACTAAAACTGGACGGAAAACACTATCAGAACTTGGCATCGAAGCCCCCATTGAGGGAAGGGAAAACAATGTATCCCACATGAATGGAGGCAGGACTTCATCATCAAACCACTTCCACGCGACATGCATCCTCAGTTCCACGAACATCGACGTTGGGCACGGGCAAAAGTTCCCGACAACTACTAAGATACTGAGGGTGCCTTCTTTGTCTATGCAGCTGGACCAGTGAACGGCAAATATACAGCAAGCGTCATTCATTGTGGAAAACAGGTTGATTGTATATCAGCCCAGGACACAGACACAACTAGTATGGAAGAAGCAGGAATCACCCTCGCCCTACGAAACCCAAGGTTCACCTTCGTTTTAACAGATTCAAAAGCAGCTTACCGAAATTTTTGTAAAGGCTACATTGGCCCCATTGCCAATCGACTTCTTACACAACTCTCGTCCTCACGCTCAGAGGGCGAAAGGAATGAACTGATATGGATACCCGGCTACCGCGGAGTTAGAGGCCATGAGCTCGCCCATGCCTCGGCCAGAGAATTACTCTTCCGGACCTCCGACCCCGGAATATCGCACCCACCCTCGGCTATTCGCATGGACCCGCTCCTAACATGGACAGATTTTCTAGAACATCAAAGACTCGAAAGACGGAAACATCCGCCCCCGGGGCCAAAGCTCAGTAAATAACACAGGTAGCTTGGCGTTGCCTGCAGACCTTGTCTTACCCCAATCCATACATACTGTCCAAGATAGATCCCGACACATACGCACCACAGGGCAGGTTCTGGGCCACTAAAACAGCCACCCTGTACCGCATGGTATGGGAATGGCCACACAATCCACCTCTACAACCCAGAGCACAGCACAACACTGTAGGGTGGGAGGCAGATTTGTCCAGCTCGGGTCCGAAGACCCAAAAAGCCCTCGTGAGGTGAGCGAGGACAGCGGCCCGTGCCAATGGAATCCCGGACTAAGGAACCCACTCGCCGACATTCGTTCCTCGGTCGTAAATAAATGTTTTATTCTCTTTATCTCGCTCCACTTTCGGGGTGTGCTCTAGTTTGGTAGGAGACCACCAGGTGGTCGTGCCTGTATAGAGGCTCGCTTGTTTGTTTGTATCCTCTAATCCATGGCTCGCTCTCGGCGCGCTTCATTTTTCTTTTACCGGACATGCAACCCACTATGAACACCGCAGAAGTCGATGTGACGGCGCGGAGGACTCACAATGCGGCTGAAGAACGCGTTTGCCATCAGGACCCTTCTCGAACTTTCCACTAGATTCTATAATTCCAGATCCTCTGGCTTTGTACTTTACGGATCACAAAGCCATGATGATAAAAGGAAAACGTACGTTCGTACGAGCTTATGTGATCCGTAAATGAGCTCTTGAACAATATGTATATATTGCAGGCAGTATGTAAGTATCTGCAAATAGTACATTGATATATAAATAATAAACATTGCGTATGCAACGTGTAATGCAATCCCTCCCCAACTCTCGCTTCGCGTCCTTATATGGTGAAGATTGGGCATATGTACAGAGGATTCACGGTTTACCAGATTTAACCTCTGGAGTAAGCTCCTTCATCATCATTCACTTCATGAGTATGCGGGATTTTATTATCGCACATTTCAGCTAAAGAGGCTAGAAGCGCTCTAGCCTTGCCTTAACGAAACAGTCGCGTAACGTTCCAAAATCGCGCGCCTTTTCCCGAGTGTGGCGGCGAAACGTGCGCGCGTGCTGGCCACACTGTTGAGTCGCCTATCTCAATATGGCCGCTGTCAAGTCGTGAAATCGAAATCGTTCTTAGGGACGTGCATCGAAGTGACCTGCTGAGTGTCACCGCCTGTGAGTTTCTGCCAGCGCTTGTTTTTCTTGTTGCCATTCAAGCCAGACGGAGTGTTGTGTACGACGGAGGTTTAAACTGCCATAGTTTGGTTCTTCTTTTTTTTCCTCTCTCTTCCTCGCGCCATCAAGGCCGTCCGACGTAGAAAAAAAAGAAAACCGACGTTTGGGAATTCTCCTGCCTGCTTGGTGGCATCGTGCGCCCGCCTGAGAGCGAAAAAAAAAAGTAAGCCATCCGTTCTTTTGCACAGCTCGGAGTACCCTGAACAAGCTCTGTGACGGTATGTGAAATGAAAGGGGCGGGGCCCTTTAATCGTTAAATCGAGCTGCGTGCGAGGCAGTGCGTTCCAAGCGTGGTTTCGCGCTGTGCGTACCTACGTGGTATGTTGGTTCGGGTATTTAGGCAGCCGCCCGGCCTTCAAGCATCATCGATCGGCGCTAGCTATCCCCCGAATTTCCGCCTACAAAACTTCGCTGTGCATTCTGTTAACCAAACACCGTCGGAACTGCGAAAGCTATATGCGCCGCGAAAAGGTCGCTTACCCGGCTCTTCATAAATCTCACCGGGCAGGGTAGCTAGAGTGCTTCCAGTTATTTCTTTCGAACGCATCTCGCGTTATTTGCATAAGCGCGGCGTTGTGACGGCGATTTTATAGCGCTCCGCCAGTTAAACGAGTTGGTTCTCCGGTCACGCCTCTTGCACGACATGTGGCGCGGACTTTGCTCGTTTCCAACTCGAGCAATAAACACGACTGACGTGTACTTTACCCTTTGCGCGTGCTAGTGCAGACGGCGCATCTCTGATTTCGCTGTAGCGACTGGCATCCGAGTGGCTACCCACGGCTCCCAGCGCTGTTTCCCGTTTTGCGTGGGTGAAATATTGCTGGCAAGTCTCGTAAATACAAAAGGCGCTTCGTTATTTAGGGTTTTAGTCTAATTGGGCTTCTAAGCACCGGAATTTCCATACTGTCGAAGTTCTACTCGCTATTCTATTGTGGGGACAGGTGAACTGCTGCCGTGCGCCAATAAATGTATAATGACCTGGCTTGACGAATATCTAATACTTCTGAACTCTCTTGCCTTCAAATGTGTGAAATGTAACACGTGTTGTCTGCGCACTCGCTGAAAGGCAGGGCTATGGTGCTTACAACGTTTTGTTAACACCATATTCGCTAACTAATTTGTTCTCCTCATATTTGATTGACTTTTGTCTTTACGAATGTCGTCCACACTGTGCTCTTAATTTCTACACTGCTGATGATGTTGTGATCTCATTGACTGCTTGAATGTGACATCACTTGGGCATCCCATCACTTCTATACTCCTCCAACTTGGTAGTTAAGATGACTGCAACGACAGCAACTGATGTAACTACAACAATGTTGTTAACCTCAGGCATGCTAGCTGTCGCAGTGACGGCGTCACGTATGATAATCCACGTGACATGTGATTTGACGGTTAGGATTATCTTGGTGCAATGCATCTTTGAGACAGTTGCACTTGACCTCTCACAGGTAGCTTATTACCTTGGCACTGTTAGTACGACAGTTTAAGTTAACCTCGTGGGAGGGGTCTTTAACAATGCTCGCATGTGACGTAACGGATGTAGGTTTCAACCTTGCGACTACTATAACCTGGCGGTTCAAGTTACCTCGGTGGGAGGCATTCATAAGACAGTGCACGTGATGTAATGCATGTACTGTAGTGTGGTGGTTTGGATCACCTCGGTGTGAAGCATCTGTAAGACGTCTTGCATGTGATGTCATGCACGTTGCCAAATACCTTGCTGCTACTGTAATGTGGCAGTTCAGAAGCTTGGTCTGCATTCCCTGTAAGGCATTGCATGTGATGTTCTGCTGCATGGTACTTATAATATTACTGTGCAACTACATAAAGGGCCACTTCGGACTACCTCATTTTGAGGCATCCATAAGATTGATAGCTTGCACATTACGTCATGCATGCAGCTGACCACCGGGCTGTTCCTCTGCCATGGTGGCTGGTCCTTCGAAGATCATGGCAATGCAAGCCTTCTATGCTTTAGTAAGGCTATGCTGTGCTTGGCGCAAGTATTCTGGCGCTAGATGCTTATACGTACAGATGTTATTCAATATATTATGGAACTCTTTGTGATATTTGGGAACCGTCAACTTTGTGCAAGCTCTTAGTCTTTTCATGAAATACATGTATTACCCAGGAATGCTTTTATGAAACGGTTGCTGGATTGACCCGGACAAACTTGCTGGCATCTAGGAAAGCACACTCTCCATTCGTATCTTTAATTATTTTTGTATTTCGAAATAGGTAGGCACAAAGAAAGCAAACACACTGTGATCTGTATCAAAAGGAATACGTTAATGCATCTGGAACAGTGCAATTTGGTACCTGAGTTTACAGCTTATTCGAAATTTTAACAGTTGTAATGATCTTGCAAAAGCCCTTCTTAAAGATTAGTTGTAAATGTTTTAAAGCTGTGTATCATATATCAGTTTTGTCTACTCTAAATATAATATCAATATTGTGTACTCTAAATGTATGATTAAGTGCAGCTTACAGATATATTACTTTCTAACTGTTAAATCAAAGCTGTAAGATGAATAGTTTCTTCTAAAATGTTCAGCAACTTTTAAAATGAATAGCATAGGCAGCATTGATGAAAAAAAAAAAAAAACTGTAGTCGATTGATTCAACAAACCTCAGCATTGTTTGTTTAGTGCTTCCCAAAAAACAATTACTCTATTTATTTGAAGTTAAGTGGCAGGTTTGCAGCTTAATTTCATATTAAACTAGTAATAGACGAGTGTCACTCAGCTGAACCTAATGTTTACTTGAAAACTTATTGGCTGGTTGAAGAGTGCTATTTTCTGGATACAAATCTTGTAAAACTTTATCAAGCGTAGTCGGGTTCACTGGACAGACCTTTTCTTCCCGTGCCCTTTGCTCTTTCAAGTGGGGAATGAAATGGTTTGTTGATTGTCTGACAATTGCTTAAATATGACCTCTGCCATGTCGTTGAACTTGCGATACCGTCCTGTTTGATTGGCAACGACGAGGGCATGCCTTCTTAGTGTGGCTGGTCACAGCATAATAATTCGATGCTTTGCGTTGGGGAACTTAGCATCATTAAGGATAGCGCTTCAGTGCCGATCGGTTGCGGTTAGGTTCATTCTCGATCTTGAAGCAGCTAGTGCAGGGTACATATTTGCAACTTAAATTTTTTTTTGTTCGAGGTGGGTCAAGTGATTTGGTTCTTTTGCCCATGCTTTTGTTCGAATGTAGATGCCTGGCCCTCCCTTCAGACTCGGATTTCTCAGTAGACTTTAACCCCTCTAGGATTCATCTTGTACTCCAGCATTTGTTTTGTGTCTTTTCTCAGCCATGGAAATCGCAGCTGATGTCTTTTTACTATGCTACACTTCAGCAAACATCTAGATTTAAGCATACTTTAGTTCTTGGTTTTTGTGCTATTTTAGGTAATAAAGACTAATCTTTCACAGCTTTTTTTTTTTTTTTTGGTCCGTGTCGTAGTCATTTTTAGATACCATAATTAATTGCTTAATCATTATTGTTATCGCTTGGAGCCATGGGCTGGCAAAAATCGACTCGCTTAAATACATTCTGTTTAGGGCCCACTCAGACTCTTCAGAACTTGTCTCAACAGGACTCACGTGGAGTCAGGCTGCTCACTGGATCTTATTTAGTCCAAGTCTGCTCACAAGAGAGTTGGCAGGCTTACGCTTGTAGCTGTTGCCATAAACTGCCAGTATTGAGCATGTGTTGTTACTGGCTGTTCTTCATTCATTTTGGCTGAGGCCTTGTGAGGACAGCACACAGACCTAGGGATGTCTCCAATTAGGAGAAAAAGGTGTGTCGGCACCCCCCCCCCCCCCCAACACCCCCCAGACTTAATGACGAGGGGGACTAGCCTTGCCCCTCCAGGGCTACATACTTTAGATGGTAATTAGTTATTTCATTTTGTCGTAGACATGTGTTCTAATGTTGTATCAAACTTTAAACAGGCTGTCAAAATTTTATCACATCCATGACAGGTTTACTTTGTGTACATCGCTATGAAAAGGTATGCCTTTGCTTAAACCTGTGCTTTGCTATTTTGACTTGGTTTTCCCAGCATCACTAGCACAATTCTGAAATCTTGTTGAGCTAACCTTTTCAAGCATGTGGCCCACACGGGACGTCGGTTTTAAAGGGTCACTGAACAGAAAAAAAAGATTTTTCGTGTATTAGCAAAGCACAATTTCACAACCCGAAAAACACCACTCTTACTGTGAGACGACACTTGGCAAGCGAGGAAACACATGAAAAGAAAATGATAGTGGAGACGCCACCTCGAGATTTTTGCGTCAAACACCGTGACTTAGATTTTGAAGGCGCCTACTGGGACATACGTAGCTTATAATTGATAAAAAATAAAGTAGGTCATCATCTGTGGGTGCCGTAGGCCTAGCATATGAAGTTCCGAAAATTTCGTCGAGCCTATGTCGTGAAAACGTGTCAAATACATTTTGAAATCTCTGATGTCACGTGTGGAGATTTCAGTGCAAAAGTTAAAAAATTAAACTTCAACCTTGAATTCCTTCTCTATCAATGAACTTACGATTGTGAAACTTGTGGAATTAGTGTGCTCAGAGTGTAGTTATCAATCTAAGCAAAGTCACTGTGTCTCTTTAGTGCTTTTTTAAAACTGGCTAATTCATGTTTGTATACAGTAAGCTTACGATTACTTTCTTGCCCCATTGCTATAGCCTTCGTTTTGTTTCAGCTTTGAGGATCATTGGCCTCTTTCGAAGAAGGCCTCTGCTTTGAAAGCACTGTATGACAATTAAGAACGAGCAAAAAATAGGCATCCCTGCATCTCAGTGATGCAATCTCAATAATCCAGCGACTGAGAGGGTACTAAGTGAAAGGACATGATACGTGCGCAGACATTTCAAGTTGGGCAGAAAAGGAGCAAGAAAGGAAGGTGAGGCTATAGAGCCGAAAGTGGCATAAAGTGAAATGAAAAAAAAAGTAAACAAAAAGAAAAAGGTGCAGTCATTGCTTTATCACTACGTAACATTGTTATCTGAAAGAAGGAAGTCTGGAATGGCGTTCATTGTCCTGGCCTTGAGGTCAGTAACAAGGATGTTGTCTACGCGTGGCGGAATGAAAATGGTCGTTTCGCATCGTCGCGTCCTTTTCATCACTGCTGCTGCACTTCATTAACTCATACATTTGGGGCCAAAAAGTTGTTGCCCTGTCCTTCATTCTCAGTCTGCTTGTCTTTCCCCCTTAATTTCAGTCGCGATTCATGGCCAGCGGTCGTGCTTACACTTTTCTTAAGGCATTTGCTCCGTGGGAGAGCATATAATTCTTACATGTTTTGGCGTCTTTCTGCAGGAGGAACACTAGATGGGAAAGCGTTTCTTTCTCGTGTTAGTTGATTGCTCTATCACGATTCAGAGATTGCCGCACTTGCTGCGAGAGGACGTTTCGTAAGCGAGAGAACGTCCAGAAAGAAAATACTTTTGGCGACGTTCGCATGAAATTCCCACATCCAAACTCCGCAATGTTATGTTTTCACGGCACCTACTGGGTCCCACGTGGTTCCTGACCAGTAAAAATGAAACTTGTAGCCCCCAAGGTGGCCGGAGACTTGACCTATCGAGTTTAGGAAATTTCCTTCGAGCCGATGTCACCAAAATACAAAATATGTGCGTTTTAAATCCGTGATGTCACACGCGGCGATTTTGGTGCCAAATTCAAGTGTGATTTCGAGCTTGACTTTATCCTGTGTTAAACAACCTATGATTATGAGATTGAAATTGTTACAGTTCTCATTTCACTGAAGTGTCTGCGGTAAGCATGTGTGTCGCACTATTGTGTAGCTGTCGTTGTAAAAAAAGACAGGCATCTCTGCCAGTGACAGTAGAAAAAGTTTAACTTGTACTTCATTGGTTTTGGTGAAGTTTGCAAAAGGCAGAGCATAATTTTTCTTTGGTCTGTGAGGTTGGTAGTTGCCCTGTTGGTGCTATAACCTGTAGTTAATTACAACTATGTATTTGTCTTCAAGTACCGTGTTGTTTGAGGTAATAAATTTTGCATGAGTAACCAACTTTTTATGGGAAGCTGTTTTCTGTACGAAAATTACTTCCAGTTTTAAGGCCTTCAGTGTCTCTGATTCGATTTGTGGTAATGATAAATCAAGCAAACTTACACAAGTACACTTGTAAATCTAAAGATTTCCTTTTGTGTTGCAAATAAGTAATTGGCTGTTTGCTTATTCTTTCTAGCTTCCCAGCCTATTTAAGCTTGGGGCGCCCTAGTGAGCTAGGTGGTTATGCAGGTCTATATGATCGCAGTGCACAAAAGCTTCATAATTTGAACCACCAAGAATGTCTGCTCTATCAGTCCATGTTTAACAAGCTTTTGCGCGCTTCGATCAGCGTAGACACGCTCACAGCACTACGCATCACCGCTCTCGTGGCCGCCAAAGCCGGCTCCCTATCAGTTTGTTTGGCCTTGTCAGATCGGTCGACTCTCGAGCATTTTCACGGTCAGGAACGTACGGCTCTTGCAGTGCAGCCAAGTTCTTATATTTTTTTTTCTCGTTGCGCTTTGATATTGTTGTTTGGGTGCACAGATAATGGGGCGACTCCACTATGGGCACCTGTTATTATCTATAACATGCTCTCCCAATCTCTTTGAGGGCACGAGACGTTCTCCCGTGGAGGATACGTGCCGTTGCTGTCGTCTGAGTTGCGATTGCGTCGCGTGCACGTTTTTTGTCATCGTCACGTGTTGAGTTGCCCTCACGGTGCATGGGACCATCAGCAGAGCTTGTCGTGTCAGTCATCGGGACGTGAAGCAGGCAGGAGGGGGTAATCTGTATAAAGTATCATTCGTGCTCTTAGCTCTTTCTCAAAAGTTTTACGCGAGATGCTGCTTTCAGTTGCGCTCTGTTGCTGCTATCGAAGGAGACGCAGGAATGCACAACGACAAGAGCTGGATGCAAACGAAGTATTTCATTTTTAATTTCCAGCTTTAGTTTGCCCTTCATTAATTCGTGTTTCGAAAAATGAGCTCTGGCTCGCACCAGCTGTTAAACCGATGTAGTTGCCAAAACAATGGTGGTGCAAGAAATCGGGCTATGTTAAGGCACATTTTGTTGGATGTGCTGAGCTGCTATTCTTGTTATGCTTTTTCATAGGGCATCCCAGAAAGCGGTTACGTAGGTTCCCCAGATGAAAAAAAAAAAAGTTTGAATTTGCCTGCTGGAATATTGAGCCCTTCAAGCTGGACGGATAATCTAGTTTGGTAATTCAGTTATGTAGCCCTATCAATATGCTTGAATTTCATAAGTATCCAACTGGAAGATACAACCAAACTTTTGCCGGTAGCAGACAAAGTTCCTGCAGGATATTCCTTATCGAACCATAAGTCTTTCTTTGTGGGCACATAAGCCAGGTAAAAAATGGCACCTAAATGCATTTAACAAAACTTGCTTTAAAAAATAACACAATTTTTCACACCATCACACCTTTGGCAGCCACGTCAGGTTTAACAAAGCTGGTGCGTGGGGCAGCTTGTTTCGCGATACACAATTTAATAAAGCGCAAACCAAACCTGGAAAATGAAAAGCAGTCCTCTGGTCATGCTCACTTTGAATTATTTTTCGTTAAAGTATCGGAGAATCAACGTGTGGGAACATGGTAAAATATGTTTTCTTAGGTGCAGTTTGTTTCTGTTCTCGTCTTGCGTTAATTCGCATAGACTGATGAAAGCGATGATGTGCTCCCGCTTTGTTTTCATTTCATTGTTCAAATGTCAGTGCCACAGACAGGAGATAATTGTCGTCACGATGCTAGTGGAGGGACCTGACGAAACAGAACGGCGCAGGAAAGAAAACAGAAGCGAGCACAGCTAGAATAATCGCAAATGCTTGGCCCATGACCGACTCTTTGGAAAAGTTGAATATGTTGATTCTTTTGAAGTCATTGTTTTGCACCTTTATTTTTCACCTGTGGATCACCTATGGTTTGCTTTTTCCACTAGCTTTTTGTATTTTAATTTGACCAGCTTGACATATATTCTCTCCTAGTTTTGTTTTTCTAACTCCTCCTGTTGACAGCCTGTTTTTGTGAAACATTACTTCAATCAGCTATTTCTACTTGATGTAATAGACTGTAAAAGTTTAGTTGTCAGTGAACTTAATCCTGCAAAGTTGAGGCAGCTGATTACTAATTGTAGTGAATGTAAATAGTAAGTCAGTTGGTAGTTGCATTTTCCTGATAGCTGTGCTTTAATCGCTTCAAGCACATTGCATGAAATTTGGCTTCGTTAGTTTCCGAGTTTACATCTCCCCTGTGTCTGATGGCTTGCTGACGACTTCAAAGAGACATTACATAGGTTTGATAAGCTGTGTTTGTAAGTCGTACTTTTACAATAGTGGAACAGCCTTGCATGCGGGTGGAGGAAGCTTCATAACTCATAATTCACAAAAGTGCAATTATTTAAATACTGGGTACAGCGTGCCATGAAATTTACACACCAACCTACTGTAGTGTGTCACTAGTGTAGATAATTATCTGCTTAGAGAAGGACCACTGGAGTATACCCCCCTCCCCCTCTCCCAGGCGATCAAGTTTTGAGGGCATTTGCTGTGCTTAGAATACAATTTCGTGCAAGAAAAAGGTCCACCCAAGACTTCGAAACCCTCATTACTCCGACGCACTGCGAATGTTTTGATACAGAAGTCAGTGGGGAAACTTCTCTCTTAATAGTAAACCATCTTCTGTCAATTTCATATCATTTCACTCATATTTATAAACATTTTGTTGTGCTGTATGCAATATCAGCCACAGTACTGTTTCCAATGCAAATACTCTTGGGAAGGCAGGAAAAGATGGGAAAATAAAAAAAAAAGACTGATCACACTGCCTGCTCTGAAGTTGCTGCACCAGCACACCATGACCTCATGTATTTTAAAGAGACACTGAAGAGAACCAACGGGTTGTTTGAGAACCCTAATGTCAACTTTTCACTATCATAAGTTCATAATTAGTGGCAAAAATTATTGTTGACGTTCTATTTTAAAATTTTGAGCTAAAATCTCCGTGCGTGATGCCAAAATTTCAAAATGCATTCGTCATATTTTTGCAACATTGATTCAACGAAATTTTTTGAAAGCTTCATATGATAGGTGCTAGGCGCCCCCCACGGATGACAATGTACAGGGGCAGTCAAAAGTTCCCAGGCCACTATCCCATGTATTCCTGTGGCAGCATGGTCTGAGAACTTTTGACCCCCTCATTGTACTTCATTTAAATCGATTAGAAATCAGAAGACACCTTCAAAGTCTATGACGTCACAGTGTTTGGTGTAGGAATCTCAAGGTGGTGTCTCACACGGCATTTTTTCTCGCAGGTTTTCTTGCTTGCCAAGCGTTGTGTTGCGGTAAGAGTGGTGTTTTTGGGATCGGGAAATTGTACCTTATTATTATGTGAAAAATCTTTTTCTTCTTTAGTGTTCCTTTTAAGGCATCTCCTAGGTCATAGTTAATTCTTTATGATTAAAATAGAATTTTCTTAGGTTCTGATGGAGCCAGACGCATAACATGGCAATTCTTAGAAACCATTATTACGTCATCATGACCAGGCATGGAAAAATACTTTGGAAACGTTGAAGTTGTGACGTACCACAGTTAGGACATTGGCGAGAAATTTTGAAAAAAACCTCTTTCACTTTTCTTGCCATATTAAATTTATGATCGTCGTGAAATTGCTTAAAATGGTTTAACATCTTACTTGGTTATTTTTTAGGGCTGTTGATTGTCTGGCGACTTCTGGTGTCACCACAAATAAATGGAAACTAGTGAGATCTGTTTGTACGAGCCAATCAAGATGTTCCCTAATGCCTTAAGAATACTTTCAAACTGTCTTGATGATGGTTGATCTTTCTTTTCTCTTACCCTCCCCTTTAACTAGCATTAATTTTTTTAGTTTAACATTCCCTTCAGCAGTGACATGTATGATTCTACACATCACCTGTGAGGACGCTGTTCAATGCCTTTAGCTGAGCAAGTTAACACGCGCAAGGAGTGTTATTATGCCTACATCATTGCTCGAGTTACCTGAAGAAACATGTGGTCCACGACGTGGCTCTATAGGTTAATGCTTCAATACTACTGGCGAATGCACTCAAAGATTCCAGAGAAAGGTGCAGGACAACTGCGAAACTTCGACATCCCGCGATGTCCAGCAGTTGCCCCTCGCCATTTGCTTCTTAGTAGTCATCACACATATTCACTAGTAATATGGCAGCATTCACTTATGGAGCCACGTCACGCACCATGTGTAAGTTCAGCGAGCTTTAGACGTGATGTGCACATGATGGCACGGCAACAACCACGCCTAGTTTAACTTCTCTGCTGTGTGTTCCTGCAGAGGACCACTTCGCTGAAGGACGCTACAACATTTGAGGAGTATATTCACCGGGAGCTGCACCAAAACAAAAGTATTTGTTTGGAATTAATTTAATCGATAACAAGCTATGTTCTTATTTCAAGTGCGAAAGTCACTTGTTCTTATAGAAAGGATAAAACAAAACTGACTTCACAAATAATAGATCTGTAATTACTCATTGATTATTATTTACTGAGAAATGCACTGATCGGCAAAAAGAAGAAAAAACGCAGACAGACGAATACAGCACTTACGCTTGCCAGTTCATGTCTGCACTTCACCCCCCCCCCTCTCCCGTCCTCCTTGTGCCATGCCTATTTTTCTGAAGCAATGAACCAACTGGCTCGGGCTACAAGCCATGTTATTCCAAATGAGAACTGTGAGTGGAAAAAGAATCAACCAAAGACTAATTGAACGGCGCAGTGTCGAAAACGTCATATTGGTTGGTTACATGTGTAGAAAGACCAGTGAAGCAGGCTACCTTGATGAGCAGTATGTTGCTCAGAATGTGTGCAAATGAAAGGAATAGAAATGGAGGCTTGCGGTTTGGCACTGACGGTGCACCTGCACCTCCGAGGCATCCCGTGGAGTTCCTTATGACTGTGCGGTGTGGCCGCGCCGCTTTGGCGCGCAAGTGTTTGCACATGTTTCACGACCTCTGCTGGGCGTCAATGCCTAAACGCATTCCCAGTGTGCCCGACACACAACGGTGCTTTCGATTGATCCAGGGCGCTGCGGCCAGCCAGGAAGGTGCGGGCTGCCACGGCAGGATGTGGACGGTGCGTCTGGAGGGAGGTCCGCGCCGCGTAAACCACGCGGCCGTGGCCATCAACGGCAAGGTCTACTCGTTTGGCGGCTACTGTACCGGCGAGGACTACAACACCCGCAAGCCCATTGATGTTCATGTCCTGAACACAGGCAAGAGTTTCTCCGCTCACTCTTGTCTTGACTAGCGAATTTGTGCTTCTCGGTTGAGGGTGGATTCCACATGTCATGAGTTTGTCGAAATCGGAAGTCTCCGGCGGGGAAATTTCACACTGCTGAACACGTCATCTTTCTTGTAGTTTTGAAAGAACTTGAAGAAACCCAATAGAACACCAAAAAGAAAAAATACTGAGAGGCAGAGACAGGGAACACAAAGGGGTGTCTGCGTTGACCGTCTGTGCCTCTCTGTTTTTCTTTTTTCGACGTTCTATTGGCTTTTTTCTAACTACATACCAACTTGCCCGACAAGCAGCACTTTTGAAAGAACCTCTGTGCATAATTATACACTTGAAACCTTATATGCTCTGAAACACTTATGAAGATATCTTTTTGATACTAAATGAAATTCTGTTAGTACCACTTGATCCTGTAAAACCTGTAACGTCAAATAAGAGTCCATGAAGTGCTTTTGCATGAGATCTGAGACCAACCAATGTCTGCTTTAGTTTGTTGAAAAATCTTGCAGTTTGGGTAGCATTACATTTGGCATTTGCATCATATCCACTATAATGTAGTCTATATAGGTGCATCATATATATATATATATATATATATATATATATATATATATATATATATATATATATATATATATATATATATATATATATATATATATATATATATATATAGTCCAGTAGATCCTCCGTGAGCGGTCACAACGTGGTTTATTTCGACGTTTCGGCCTAGAGTCTGGCCTGTATCAGGATTAAAGGTACAGTTTGTTGGTGCTTAGCTTTATACAATCTCAAATCAGAGGGAAAGGAAAGAGGAAAAAGACAGAAAAAAACAAAGAAAAAGGAAAAAGAAAAAAAGAAAAAAGAATACAAGGTAGACTCCCCTCGGGTGCCCCCTTACACTCTTCCTTCCACTTCCCCCTTCATCTCTCTCCCCTTTCTCCCCTTCACCTTTCTGATGTTAGCGGTCTGTGTATGCTTCCTTTCACTAACGCATTCCTCCCGACCAGACGGCGCCTCCTGGCACTGGCGGTTCGGTGTGCGGAAAAAAAGAGCTTTTTCAGGAAGTTTTTAACTACTCAGAGTTCCGTCAACATTTCGTCGTAGAAAGAGAGCTGCTGCGTATTTTGACAGAAGCTGGTAAGCGATCATTTTAGGAAGTTTTAAGCCTTTAACTTCTCGGCTCCCCGTCAACATTTCCTCGTAAGAAAGGGGTGACGCGTATTGCGGCAGAGGCTGGTAAGCGGGTGCAATGCGAATTCCTTGCCCGCTTCTGGATTACGCATGTAGTGGGGGCCTTCCCGCTGTGCACATGGTTGCTGTTGGACATGTCATGCATGGCACAATTGATTGGGTAGTAAAATAAAACAGAAAACAGACGACAGCTGCACTTAGGAAGAGTTGTTACACTTGGAATTGTTTTTAGTTGTCCAGTGCCCTTCGCAGCTGCAGTGCCGTGAACTCAGTTACTATTTTCATTATTGCCGTCATTGTTTTTTAATGCTTTAATTGCTGCAAGTGTACCAGGATTCTCATTTATTCCTCTATTGAGGGTGTTAAATTGGTGGGTCTGATAAATAACACAGCGCTGCGAGGACATCAGACAATGACTCAAGAAATATACGGACAGAGATAGGTTGCCTGTCCCATCACCTGTGCCATCTAGTACATAAGCAAGCCGGTGGCGGCTAGTTGTCTTTGCCCGAAATAACCGTGGCTCAAATAGGCCCGATCCTAGCACTCACCTTAGACGGCTAAGTAGGCAGCTACGTGGACAGCAGCCAGATTTAGTATTATTATACTTGTGACAAAGACTGCCAAAATAGATGTCTTCGTGAACACGACATCGGGGTTGAAAAGGTTGCAAGCTACCTCGTCGATTCAAGCAAAGGGATGCCCTGGTAGAAGGCTTCTGAAACTGCTGGCAAGGTGGTCTGCTGACAGCGAAGTGTAGCTTTGCTTACTTGTGGGGGTTAATGTAACATGCGTTGTTTGTTTTTTTTGTAGATTTAAGCATAAAGGAGGGAAAAGAACGCTTTTATGCGTTTCTCTTCACTTTCTCTTGTAGACATGAAGCGACATCTTTTGAACACATTTTATGACTTGAAGGCTGAGTAAGTCTCGAAGGAGCCTTCTCAATCCTTGTGGTTGGCTATTCATCGTGCTGGGCTTATTTAAACACGCCCTCATAATGTGTAAAAGTGGGATTACCTTGGCCCAACTGGCAGTGTTACTCATGTTTTTCATTATATGTACTGACACTCGACGATGCTAGATTTGGCGAGCCGTGATCTTTTGATGAAGCAGCCCATTGAAAAAGAAAAAAAAAAACGCACAGAAATAAAAGACTCATACACAAGCTCTGTGTTTGCCTCCAGTTATGTGTGTGCAGTGTGTTTTCTTCTGTGCGCTGCTTCATCAAAAGATCTCTGTTTTGACTTGGCTTCTCTGCTCGTGCAGTGTCCCTCCGATGGGTCCTGGTGCAGACCCAGTCGCAGCCCGACGGACGTGCCCTTCCAGAGGTATGGCCACACTGTCATGGGGTACGGAGACTACGCCTACCTGTGGGGCGGTCGCAACGACGATGGAGCCTGCAACACCCTCTACCGATTTGACACCAGTGAGTTGTTAACTGTTGTGTGGTTGAGTGGAACTTAAGAGGACTCTAAAGTGAAATGGAGAATTGGTTTAAATAGAGAAATCATACTGTGAAAACCCTATGTCAATTTCACCATTATATGTTGAAGGAGAAAATAGAAATCAATGTTCATTTTTAAATTTTGCTCTGAAAGCTCTGCCCTTGCCATTGCAAATTTAAAAGTGTACTTTGATGACATTGTGTCAGTGAAATGTCCTGAAGCTCAATATGCTAAATATCTGAACCCCTCGTAAGGTAGTCTACATCATTCGTGCCTATCAGGAACTTTGTAGGCCCTAGTAGATGCTGTCGAAATTGGGACCTCATAGCGAATGGTGTGGGAATTTAAGGGTGGCATCGCCACCTGCATTTTTTTTCTTATCTCGTTTACTGAGCAAGTGCTTGTGGTCAGGGCAGTGATTTCGGTATCGTGAAAGAGTAGTTTACTAGCACAAAAATAGTAGTTTCCTCTTTGGATGTCTCTTTTAGAAGTCGACCAAAGCACAGCAGGGCATTGTCTCTGTGACTAAGGAAAGTTTTGCTCGACGCTCCTGCCAGTATTTTTCCGACTGTGGTGTTGCCATTTGTCTGACTCATGGCGTCAGGTCTAAAGTGCGTGACCGTTGGGGCATTTGAGTTTGCATATGCTTGTGAGGTGGAACTGCTGCTTAGCTCTGAAGTTCTGCTATACTGAAGTGCGCTAATGTTAATTAGGCTGTATTACTTGAGGGTCAGCTTTTTTCGTGAGATAATCCCAAAAATGTGTTTTTTTATTGCCGAGTTAATTTTTCGAGACGAATATATTAAAAAAAATGGTCTGAAATTTTCTGAGTGACGGTAAAGGGATAAAAACAATATTTTGTGTTGTTACATACACATAGGTTTTTTTAAAGAGTAGCAGCAAGGTAAATTCTAGAAAAGAAAAACAAAAAAAAAACATAGGACTGGCGAAAAATTGAGTTGCACGTGAACGTGTGCAGTTCATAGAAAATACAATAATAAGTCTGCGAAGCAGTGTCAAGTGAAAACACGGAGGGAGAAAAGCCACTCTTTATCGAATTGGCATCGTCTCGCCACGCACGCTTTTGACGTGTCGCTCGCTGGTCAACATCTGAATCTTAACTTGCAAGTTATACCTCATATGACAGTAGTGACATTTACTGAATCATATTCTGATTTGCAAAACGAGTGGCGAATTCGGATAAATCATTGCTAGACTCGCTTTTGTATTCTAGAAACCTAACGCGCACTTCCATAGTGTAAGAAAACTGCACAAGCAATCGTACTTAAAGTAAGTTGCTTAGTTGTTAGTGATTTGAAGGGAAAACAAGTCTGGAACTTATGATAATCATTCGTATTATGACCAACAAAGCGGGAAGTGGTTTTTGCGAGTCTCTGAAACTGGAAATGCAGCGTCTGCTTGGAAACAGGTGTGATTTTGTGCCGGGGAGCAAGAAACATGAGTAACCAATCGTCAGTTTTTGAAAGATTCTAAACCAGAGAGCCATTAGTTTGTGGGTGCAATAAGCGGGAACCGGCCGAAAGTCGAAGCCGAAACTAGTCGTTGCAAGTGCTGTAGTAAAGCATAAAAGAAAAAAAGACGAATAGGCATTGGCATTAAAAAACATTCCATATATTCATGAAGCGTGGTGGCACATGCCAAGCAAGAAAAATAATCGAAAAAGGCACGCGTTGTAGACATACATCTAACGACGTACATGCACACCATTGACAGCTTTGTGGCTGTTTGGTATGATCAGCGGGTATGTCTTACACACTCAAAAAAGGGCTAAGTGTAGGCTTGTGCGAATGTCGAAATTTTTCGTTCAAATATTCGAACGAAAATTGCAGTATTCTAATTAGCTCCAAATCGGATTTACATTATGAAAATTTTAATTATTCGAATTTGGACCGAAAATTGGGGGACCCATAAGCTTCGCCTTTAGGAGTTGAACGCCATAGCGAAATCCGGCCCCTAGTGCACCCCTGAACTTTAAGTGCATACTTATTCATATGTTTTGTTACATACACACGCACACAAACATGCATACAGTAGATTGGACGAGCGCGCACTATTATCGCTGAATGGGCTCGTTTTTGTCGTGACACCTGTTGAACGAAATGCGTTGAAGGGGCCCAGAAACAGTTTTTCAAGTAATCATGGAATTAATTACTAGAATAGTTTATAGCCTCACAAATTCAACGCCGCAAAAATTTTAAGAATTCGTTCAGTGCGAGTGGAGTTACAAAGGTTTGTCACATGCTGCAATTGCCTTATCTCTTCGCTCGTCCCGACGAAACCGCTGGAAGCTAAGCAGGAGGGTTGGCAGGGCAAGGGAACTACTGCGCCTCACGATCTGGAGCACTTTTTTTTCCTTCGAATGCACAACTTTTTCAGTGCGATCGCACGCGTGGGCGAGTAGCGGCCTCCCACGGCTATCTCGGTAACTTGATTTTTCGGTCACAGACGCAAAGACGATTTTTCACTCGCAACCAATGGGGCCGACGCCGGTGGCGGGTAATTTTCGGACATGAGCTCTTTAATGCTATTGCGTAAATAGACGCATATTATGGGCCTCTTTTTATGGAGAGGAGGATTTTCTCCTTTCTGGGCTGTTGCATTAGAGTACAAAAGCTGACGTCACAGCCTTGGCAGTGCATTTTTTGGGGGCTTACATGCACTAACAACAGCCCAGAAAGGACTATGGCGGCGTCCAGGGTGCCTTGAGTGAAGAATTGTATAATCCGCGTGTGACACCCTCTAATGAAGGTTTCACTGCAGTGGAGCGGCGCTGAGCCGTGAAAACACTTGTCCGAGTGTACATTATTTTATGTGTATCGTCCCGGTAAAAGACGTATTACTCCAGTAAAGTTGTGCTAAGCCGTGAAAACATGTATCCAGGCGAAATTATCACTGCCGGGAAGCCTCTTTTTGAAGTTGAATGAGGATATCACTCTCACGCCAATACATTTTGTCAAGTTTAAAATCTTGTTATACCAGCCTATATGCTCCAGATGTTTTAAAAGGTGACATATTTTCCAGGTTATCACTTGCATTCTATTAAAAGTAACATTCCTGCTACTATTCAAAGTTGTTTCAACTTCCTGTGAACAAAAAAAAATTGGCACTATGCACAAGCCTTCTTTAATTAAAAAAAAATATTGTGCACATTAGTTAGGTCATGACAAGTATGTCCACTTTTTTAATAATATGCAATATATATACTGTTTGACTTCGATTAGAAATTATTTAATTTAAATTACTATTTTTTTGCTTTGAATTTGCTTTGAACCTAAAATTCACTGTTTGCACAAGCCTAGTTAGGTGTTTGTGAAACTTGAGGTTAAAGATATGGCAGGGGAAAATTGTGCATTCAGGCTTGTGTACCAAGTGTCAGTTAGCAGTGCAGTCATGTGATCACGTTTTGTTAGCACTGACTTTCAACTCAGCAATACTATCCACTGTGTAGAGTGAACATTGGCTTGGTGTTTGCTGCAGTGACTGCTGGCAAACTAGTATGAGAGTGATTGCAGTGTTGTGGTTACAGAATAGAAACCACTGCAGCACCGTTACCAGATCCTAATAAATGCCACATTGCTGTTTAAAATGAGAGCTAAGGTTCCTGGTTTACGTTGTGTGCGGTAGAGTCTTAGTGTGCAGTGTTAAAACAAATTAGACTTTATGCATTTTGAATATACAGCACTGACATTTCATTTACATATTCACTGAATTTGCTAAATTCTATTACTGAAACTAAACAATCTCCTTGGAAGAAAAGCCACAATTAACGACACTGACTGAAGGGCTTATTTAAGAAACTGCAATTAATCATGGCTTGTTCACATGGTGCTGGAGCTCAAGAACCTGTGATGCTTCACAATGTCCTTGGCTAACGTATTCCTTTAGGTTAGGCACCCAAGCTGTACGAATAGAGCCTGCTAACAGAAGCCAATGTGTGTGCCATGGACAGCGCACAAGTAATAAATGACTTGACAAACTTGAGGTCATTCTTCATTTCACAGGTTAGTCGACGCAAGGGATGGAGGGAACTGCAAGCTGTGCTGAATATGCTAAACTATTTGACCTAACAAACACCTTCAATATTTTTTGGGAAACTCCAACAAATGGTTGTTTCATTCGTTACCTGATTCAACTGTATAATGTAAGAGTAGCTCACTTTCGTTGTAAAGCTTAGGCTGCAAAGGCAAACAAGCATTTCTAGAGTCCCCCAATCTGCAGTAATGATTTGGGGCCTTGACTTTGAGAGAAGAAAAGTTAGTGCAAAAAACTAGCTAGTTGTTTCTGCATATTTCAATAGGTAACAGCACTAAGGATGTGAACAAAGGATTTAACTTAACCAGGACACAGGCGTGTCTTCTGTGTGACTAAAGCTTTGTCCGTATCCACGAAGCTGCTGCTGCTAATTGAAATGATGTCTGGAGTCACCTTGCACGCTCATTCTCCTACGTTGGACGCAGACACCCTGACCTGGAGCCGCCCAAAAGTGTGTGGCCACGTGCCGGGAGCACGGGACGGCCACTCGGCGTGCGTCATGGGCAACCGGATGTACGTGTTTGGTGGCTTTGAAGAGCAAGCAGACCGTTTCTCGCAGGACGTCCACTACCTGGACCTGGACACCATGCTGTGGCAGTATGTGCCGACCAGGGTGAGGGTGCACAGCGTGTTGTGCAGTCCTTCATGTTTAGTATCATGGTTAACCCTTGGAGTTAACACGTTGCTCAGAGGGCGGGTATGCATTGTGAGGCAGAATGCATTAATGAACACGAACGAATAACTTGCTTGTAAAGGGAAAGCAGGGCTCGAAGAAAAAATAATCTAGCAAAGAAAATTGCACTTTGTGAGAAAGCACAACGTTTGAAGTAGAGCAGCACGAGAAATAGTTACTGCACAACGCAGTAAACCATAATTGCTCATGTTAAGCAGAAATCTCCTAAAGCGCAGCGTATTTTCGACAGCTGTAGCTTCTGTGGTAGCAGGTTCCAGTGTGTCCAAGCTTTGGGTAAAAATTTTTGCTTAGGTTTCAGCATGTGCGAATTCGGGCATTTGTAAAGTACGTGCACACCCACATTGCTTCTTAGAAAACTTTCATGTACCTTAGCTCCTTAAGGATTGACAGTGAAATACAGAGTGCTCAGCTCTCACCCCACCCACGTAGGCTGAGCACCAAATTTTGAGCTAATTTTGGCCAGACCTGAGCCAGCGATCGCCTGAGCTTAATATGTGAGTGTGAAATGAGGGCTGGGGCGATGATGTAGAAAGATTTAAACGTGTCCACCCATTCTTTTCTTGGATATTGCATCACTGACGTCCAGTCTGCCTGGCTTGGCGACTGGAGAGTGTGTGTCTTTAGTAGGATTATGTGCTGATGTCAAAGTCCTACATCAGCATGTTAGCAAACACCACGCTTGCCATAAAGATTAACTCTGGCGGAAAAACTATTTGTGCTGAGGCAGTGATGACAGATGAGACACCACCTTGATTTACAACCTTGGAGAGTACCTGTGGAAGAGGTGTCAATAAATTCAGTTTCCATCAATAGTGGGGTAAAACGTGGTGGAGGAGGAAGATGTGATTTATCCCAGCAGGGAAAGATCTGGTTTTGGACCCTAGGTGCCCAGCTGCACATGACAGCCTCCCAGTGCTCTTTACAATTGCATAAAGGGGTACTGATGCAGAAATTTTGGCCTCTCATTTTTACACTGCAGTGTGTTGCTGGGGGCCTGTTAGTCATAGTACGATGCATTGTTTTCTGCAGGATGTGGCTGATAATTAATTACAGGCTTGTTGTTACCGACGACCAGTGTCACTTTTGGTTTCGAAAACGATAAGCTGCCATGTGCAACTATCGGCACGCAGTGTGTGCAGCTCTTGACCACGTCAGCACACATAACTGTGACACACTTACGCCCGGTCCACATAAAAAATTGCGGCGCGTGGCGATAGATGGCCCGTGGTGCCATCTATTGCCACGCGCTGTTGCCAGAGCAGAAAAAGCAAGAGGGTGTGGCCGTGCGACGGAATGGCCGCGAAATGGTCGCGGGCACGCTTCACATCCCCATATCCTCCTCTCCTTAATTCACCCTATATACCGGTCTGCAAAGGCAGCCGGTCGTCGCCCATGCATGCAAAGACATCATGCAATGGGCAACAGCTAGCCTCAGCCTCGCTCTGCAACCGCTGCTGGAGAAATAAATAGAACACAAGAATACACTTGAGAAATACAATGGCGCCGCGGAAGAGGGGTAACAAGAATCCATGATGCTCATGCAAGAGCGCGTCCACGGCTTGGAGGGGAAGCGTCACGTAATGTTAGACTTGGGTGACTGTGTGGATGCGAGAGTGCAAGGCGAGAGTTCTGGTTGAGGCCCTTATGCGAGGAACGGGCTCACTTTCGTCTCGTCGATGTTGTCGACTGCCCTGCGAGTCCGACGAACGCTGCCTCGGTGAAGGTTCGGATGGACCTCGCTGCGACAGCCGGCCCTTTTGCTGGAATCATGGTCGCCAAACCCACTGGCTGCGAGGCGTCCTGTGGCGTCGGTCGAGTCGTGCACAGCGTCTGCGACAGCTGGCCTCGTGCAGGAGCCCTGATAGAAAGGCCAGCAGAGCTTATCAGCGATGGCCGGTAGCAGGGCACAACCGGGCTGCCTAACGACCACAGGTCTCCAAACACCTCCAGAGTCCAAGGTGGTGTAGGGGTCGGTGACTTCTTAAGTTGTTGTCGCCACACGCACATACACACGCGCACACACCTCCGATGGTCGGGTCTCCTCAAACGCGCCCCGCAAAGGAAGGCGCAGAGTTTTCTTTGTCCCTCTCCCCACGCTAAAGCACCAATTTACGATCCCCTCCTCCGGTGAGGAGAAAAAAAAACACGAAAAAAACATCAAGTAAACAAGAACACTGAAATGGAAATCAGCAGCAGCAACTGGGCGGAGACGACTTCTCTGCAAGCACTGGCTGTAAAGAAGTTACCGTATTTACTCGATTCTACCGCGCCCTCGATTTTAACGCGCACCCAATTTCCACGACGAAAAAAAAAAACGTAAGACATCGGTTGCAACGCGCACCCATTTTTCTCGCTGGCCCGCACGATCACACCACTCGAAAAACGACTCCTTTCGGGAGCGTCTTCCATTTAAATATGAGGTACGGCGAACCTTGTGCCCATCAGACGTGTAACAGAGCATTGCCGTCACTGTAGTTTTACCGTGGACCAATGTCAGCACGCGAACTTGCTTCGCCCCCTTTTTCTCGACAGTTGTGGTGCCAGGCATGTCGAAGTAAAGAGGAGTCTGATCGGCATTTCCGATTTGCCCAAGCAGGTAGCCGTTGTTGTGCCGCAAGTTTAGGACGAACCTCTGAAAACTGTGAAGCTTTTTATCGTACTCCTCCGCAAAACTTTTCGCATATGCCTGTTCCCTTTCGGAAGGAAAAGCCTTTCCTCTTCATAAAGTGAGTTAGCCAGCACCTGCTCGCATTAAACTGGCTCCGCATTAGACCTTTTTCTAAGGCTAATTGCATAGCCCGCACTTGGAGCAGTTCTGTCGTCACGGGCCGCCGTGCCGCTTGCTGCTCAAGCACATACTTGCCGAGCAGCTCTTTAATTTGCGGAAACCGACCTTGCTGTGGTCCACTGAAGCCTTTGCGTGAAGCTTTGCTGTCGACAATCTTCTGCTTTTGTTTCCGCCAGTCCCGCACGCACGTTTCGGGAACTCCGAATGTCCGCGATGCGGCCCGATTTACGTTCGTTTCGGCACACGCGATGACTTTTTTTTAAAAGCGGCACCGTGTTGCACTCGTCGAGTTTTTGGAGTCGGCCTTTCCATGCCGTTGATGCTAATGCACACCAAGATGAGGAACTCCTCAGCACACGTACGAAGTGCCGCACATGGGAAACACATAGGCAGAAATGGCCGACGCGCCATGCCGACGCACGTAGGGGGCGGCAATTTCGGAATGCCGATGGCAATAGAACGACCGTATTCATTTTTTTTTTCGTACTCAATTCTAACACACACGCGATTTATGAACTCGCTTAACCGGAAAAAAGGTGGGCATTAGATTCGAGTAATTACGGTAGCTGAGACTAGACAGTAAAAATGAGGGCCTTCAGTTGCGGAAATAAGCCCGCCGTCCGGCGCGAAATCACTCAGGTGACCGCTTCCTCAGATTATACCTGTGCGTTGTCCAAATGCGGTCCGCCGTGCCGGGTGCTTGCGGTGCCGTTGCTTGCGCGAAGAGCCACTGGGCGCTGGCACAGGCTCGTCAGACCTCGAGGCAAAGGTTTTCAGGTCTGCGATGTGGGCAAAGCTGAGTTTTTCGGAAAGTGGGTCTTTCAGCAAGTACGCGAGTGGAGCCCAAGCTTTCTCCACTCGGTACGGACCAAGCCACTTAGGAGCGAGCGAAGCTGAGAAACCCTTGCTCGCGTCGCTAAGAGCGTGGTTGCGCTTCAGGACGAGGTCACCTACCTTAAATGAAAGGTGGCGACGTTTTCGGTCGTACTGGGTCTTTTGCTCGGCCCTGGCCAATGCCAAACTCTGCCTTGCTCTACTGAGAGCTCGACAAAGCCTATCGCGAAGTGTTGAAGCGTAAGCAGAACAGTCTGCCAGTTCTTCCTAGTCCCCGAGCTGGCATTGCATGACAGTGGTCTCCGGATTTGCCAACTCTCTGCCGAAATTAAGGAAGGCGGGAGAGAAACTAGTCGAGCGACTCTCGGAGGTTCGGATTGCAAACACGAGTTCACTCAAATGGTCTGCCCAGTCCTTTTGAGCTTCAGCAAAGGCCACCAACGTCGGTTTGAGCGTACGATTTGTTCGCTCGGTCAAATCGGACTGGGGATGGTAGGGCGAAGTGGTGCAGTGATCTATTGCTAGGGAACGGCACGTATCACCAAACACCCAAGCGGTGAAATACGACGCGTTGTCCGTGATCAATCTTTTCAGAAAGCCGAACCGACAAAACACTTCCTGTAGCCTCTCTAGCACCGCTCGCGCTGTCACTTTCCGCAGCGGAAAAAACTCCACCCATTTCGAAAAATGATCAACGACTACCATCAGATGTATAAACCCCTACTTACTCCTGGGGAACGGCCCCATTAGATCGCAGGTGGCTACTTACCACGGACGCTCACTAAAAATCAGTTTCATCAAGCCGGGCGGCTTGCCACCCCTTGATTTCACCGCTTGACAGATGTGGCAGGAACGGCAATAGCGAAAAATGTCACGCTTCATGCCAAGCCAAGTCACAACCTTGCTCAGTTTCGCAAAAACTTTGGAGCCACTCAGGTGACCGGCCATGGGCTCGTCGTGAAAGGCTCGCAACAGTCTACCTCTCAGACTTTTGGGCACAACCACCTTAAACGGGTCCACTGGCTCTTCATCGGTGGCTATGTATTTCAGCAGGAGTCCATCATGGTCCAGCAAGTACGCATCCGCGGGGGACCCAGCGACGCACGCCGGTTTCCCTTCCCCCTGCGCCGCCGCACTACCAGCAGCGTCTCGGCGCTCCGTCTCCCTGAGACCGTCGCTCAACTCACGACGAAACGGATCATCTTGCTGGGCCTTCAGTAACTCTTGTCTGCTGAAAGCGATTCCTATTCTCCCAAAGGGGAGCCTGGTATCGTTCCCACTCAGGACTGCAGCCATT